TTTGATTTGGTTTATCAAGGGTAAATTCAAGGGGATCCCTACAGTACTCGTCACTCTTGAACACCAAAGAAACGGACTTAAGCACGATGCTGCCAGCATTTGGCTTGAAGATGTCAGTCCATTTTTGTTTCAAGTTTGTATCAGAGAGCTTCAAAACTTTGATGGAATACACGAAGACATTGATGTGGTGAGAGAGATTATCAGGAATCTGTTGCCTTTATTTCTTGTAGAATTTATGCCCCTATTAACATCTGTTTGATTGTAGGATTGGATGGCCTTCGAAACACTTCATCTTCCACTATTCTCTGAACATGGCATAGTAAATTTTTCAAATGCCTACACTCCTTTAAAATCCAATAACTACGCTTTTTGTAAGGTAAATTGTTGTTTTTACACAACTGTCTTGAAATTGGACTCTTTTTTTTATTATTTTTTATTTTATGCGTGCTATGATAGTCGCCTGCGGAAACTGAACGTCCTGAAAATCAAATGATTGCCTTAGAACGCATTTCGCGGGTGACTACCCAGGGGTCTCGTTTTCTGAGGTAGGGTGGAGTTTTGCCTATGATCGTATCTGCTCTAGTCCACGCTTTCGGCGCTAAAAGAATGTACCTTTAGTCCGGGGTAAGGTATGTAAAATCACAAAAATTGTTCTGGGATAGGGTAAGGATGTTTAGGGTCGTGCGGCACACCCCCACTCAAGTTGAGGAGGGAGTACCCCTAGCCCCGGGGGTGACTATGAAATATATGTTTCAGAATGTGAACATGGCACAAAACTACACAAGAAGACCTTCAGTGTTGATAACACCTACTCATGATACAAGTGTTGGCCAAACTGATCCCAAATGCAATGGAATTTCTGCATGGATCGAGGTTATGTTCACAACTGAATCTTAAAGATGTTCTTCTAAACCGTTATGTCATAGAGCAAACATTTTTTTCATTTTTTCATCTTATTATCATTACTTTCCTTTGGTATTTTTGTTTTGATGTTGTTGTGTTCTTGCATTATGTAGCTTACACTTTGTGTTTAAAACTTTGAACGATTGCTCTTATCTACTTTATAAACTGAAGCACGACTGTAAGTATCGTACCATTCATATTTATTTCCATTATGTTGAATTGTTTTAAATTCTATGGATTCTTACGGTTTGCTTTGTGTTCCAGAGAGCTTAAAGAACTAAATGGCTTTTATAAAGAAATCGAATCCTTGCAACGGAAAGGGTTCCAGAAACAGTTGTCCCTTATGCCCTTTGCTCTTGACCTTACGTCTAATGAAGGTGTTTCTTTACAGGACATCACAACACAAACATTCCGTGTTTGCCTCAAAGAGTTGTACTCGGACCGCTATGACCCTGTCACCCTGCAGTATGTGGTTGTATCAGGTAACTATGAAATATTGCTGAACGCTTGACAAGTACCTTTTGCCAATTCCAAAACATGTGACATCCCACTTGAGCTGCTTAGTTATCACAGTTAAGAGTCTTTTTTGAACCTAATTTCAGTTTTGTGAATAACATTTCATTTATAATTCCCAATAGTTACCATAGTGAATGAGGTTGAAATATTAATGAGGTTGAGAAACCAGTAAAGCTGAAACATTAATGAGTTTGAAATACCAATGAGGCTTTTAAAAAGAAGGACGCAGAATGAAAGAAATTGAACAACTGAGAAAAAAACATCACATTCCCCTATTTTTTTCACATTAAAAATTCGCTGATTCTGATTCTCGAAAAATATGCTTATCATACAATACCTTCCTCAATATGTTCACGTTTTAGACATGTGTGGGAAAGACTGGAGCTACTTTAATGGCTTCTGCTACAAGACCACCTCTTCCTGTGCTTCTTGGAATGCAGCTCAGTCCAACTGTCTTGATGTTAACTCCAATCTGACCAGTGTCACCAGCCAAGAAGAAAACACGTACATTCAACATCGTCACGGC